GTTGTCGATAATCAACACAGAATCGCCAAGTGCCGTCCTTTTTCTTCACTAGAATCACCGGAGATACAAAGGGGCTGTGGCTGGGGCGGATGATTCCATTGGCTAGCATCTCTTTAATTTGACGTTCTATCTCATCCTTTTGGGTTGGTGCGTATCGTTAGGGCTTGACATTTATAGGTTTGACACCTGGCAGCAGTGGTATCTTGTGGTCGAAGTCCCTTGACGGTGGCAGGACATTAGGTTCCTTGAAAAGACTGTCACTTATATCAATGATCTGTTGCACTTCAGCAGGAATGACCTCTGGGGTACTGGTGTCAGTGGTTATGGGACACAGCTGAACCACCTGAACAATGCCCCCACGCTGTAGTAGACCTTTCATCTTGCGAACCTTGAGCTTCGGACGACTAGACAAGGAGTCCTTGATCCCCTTCATGGTGATACGACTGCCATTATGTGAGAATCGCATCAATTTTCGTTTCCAATGTGTCCACATAGGGTTGTGTGCCTCTAACCAGTCCATGCCCAATAATAGGTCAAAACAGGAGATAGGCAACACTCTAGCGGAATGAGTGAAGGTGTGCCCTTGAGTCCACCAAATGAAACTGGAAACCTATTTGTCACTCGTGAGTTTGTGCCCATTAGCTACTGTAACTGAGACCGGAGAAGCTGCTGTGACCTTACAGTTCAAGAGCTAGGCTGCTTTTTCACTCAAAAACGTGCAGGAACTGCCTAAGTCGACGAGAATTAATATTTCCTGCTTGTCCACAATTCCAGAAAGTTTGATTGTCTTCTTGCCTTGAACACCTTCCTGAGCACACTGAGACAGGACAAACACATCTGCATCTTCATCTTCGCTGGATTCACCAGAGGATTCACTACCCTGTTGCTCTGGCTGAATGATGTCCAAGAATTCTTCCAAAACATTCATAGAAACCTTGTCGGGGCATTTATGTTGCTTACCCCATTTTTCCCCACACTTCATGCACAGACCTTGGGCTCGTCGTTGGGAAGGCAAGGCGACCAGCTTGTCATCCCATTTGGTCTTGCTGTCATCCGCTGGTGCTGGTACAGGACCCATTATGCTAGGTTGGCCATTGGGGTACTGCTTCCCGGCTGACCTGTTGAATTCACGCCCATGCTTCTTGAAATAGGGCTTGGGTTGAGCTTCCAACACCGACTCCTGCATTAAAGCCAAGGACAGAGCCACATCAACAGTTCTAGGCTTATGCAAAACAATTGCTGCTCTAATGTCTGGTTTCAGGCCTTGCAAGAACTTGCTGACAAAAAACACATCATCGAGTGACTTGTTATGAACCAGAACTTTATGCATAACACCCTCAAACCGACTGTAGTACTCATGTACACCAGCGGTTTACTGAATTGAGAGAAGTTCATTCATGGCATTATGGTAGAGGTCACGACCAAACTTGGATTCTACCGCAACATAGAGTTCAGGCCAAGAGGTGATGGGATGTTGGGCTTCATAAGTTTGCATCCATAGAGCTGCGCTACCATGAAAGTAAATGGTCACAAACTCGGACTAGAGATGCAAAGGAACTTGATACATATGGAAATATTTTTCACACTTTTCTTTCCAAACCTTGGGATGAGAACCATCAAATTTTGGAAAGATAGCTTTAGGCAACCTAACTTCTCTTGGATAATGATGATAGGCATTCATAGCACCAAAATGAGAAGGATCACCCATATCAGCAATATTAGGATTAAGGGGACTGTGGTACTGACCCTTGGCCAGGGGCTGCTGGGGGATGAGACCCCCCGAATCAGACCCCTGTGGAAGCGTTGCATCGCCGTGGCCCTTGGCCCGCCCCTCTTCCTCACGTGATGGGGCTACGGGCGGAGCTGGTGGAGAGTGAGCTTCCAACGCCTCTACACGCGACGTGAGCATCTTGACCTCTTTGCTCAATTCGATGGCGAAGTGGTCGACTTCAAGGCGCCATCGATTGAATGTCTCCATGAGGAGAAGCATGGATTTCATTTGCTCGCTGAGGGCATCCAATTTCTCCTCTGCTGTCGCCATCCTTTTGGTTAGAGTTGGTGGCTTCAGTTTTCGTGTTCTAGAGCGAATCGGTGGTGGTGGTGGCGGCGGCGGCAAGGGAGATGGATGCGGTGGGGTTGGCGGTGGGGGTGGAGGTGGTGGCTGTGGTGTATGACTCGTCGAATCAACTGTAACAGGGGCGACGCGGATCGGCAGGATTGAAAATCGGGTCGATCCTGCAAGCCTGCTACGGAATTTTACAAATCCAAACGAGTGCGAGGTAGGTGATGGCTCTGGTACCAGATTGTGACGAACCAGCCGGAGGACTGGCCGGAGGAAGAGCTTGCCGTCGTACACGCACGGCGGAGGAGCTCGGCGGCACCGGCTCGAGCAGAGCACGGGAGGAAGAAGATAGGTTTGGGAATTAGTTTTGTTCTCTATTGTTGTCCACCCATCCTCCCACACAGCAAGTATAAGGTTTACAAGTTCATGGGCCAAGCCCCAATACAACCATGCGGCCCAGTTGCCGGCTTACTAGCCAGAATACTGAAAGCAGAAATGAAAAAGATAGACATATAAGAGGCCCAACAGTACGGTATGTGACAGACGGGCAGGCCCTGACCTCTGGCGAGGTAGTTCACGCGCATCCCTCGCCACGTCCAGGTGGAGCTGCCCCGGCGCAGCTCCTTTAGTGACAACGACGGCGCTGTCGTCGTGGCGGGCACGGCGGCGCTGCTGGTGCCGGTGCTTCCGGCGCGCGTGAGGACGCGGGTCGTGGCTAGGGAGCTGAAACGGCCATGTGAAGAGGGCCGCGCGGCGGAGAAAGGGAGCGACGAGAGGCGGTGGTGTCAGCCAGGTCTTGGAGCAGCGGTCGAGGAGTAGAGGCGGTGGTGGTGGTGGTCAGCAAGTAAGTCTGGATATCCAGCCACATGTTAATATTACGAGCTACAACACAGCTCGTTAACGAGCTCGACCTGGTTTGTTGGGCTCGCGAGCGGTTAAAAATAGAACACATATATTTATAATATTTATGTTACAGTAATTTTAGAAGATGACGTCCATTTTGCAACATAGGTGGTCCACCATTATGCAACCATACATAATTAATACATATCAGGTTCATCAAAAATATCAACCATGCAACATAGGTGGTCCATCCATGATCTATACAGTTTCAGCATACTTACTAGTTGCTTGCTATCATAGACTTAAAAAAGTCCACAAATTCAATATCAGCATCATCATTTTCTCTCTAAAAAATAATCTATAAATCAACATTTAAGTACCGCAACAATTATAAAATCAAAATTAATATAAAACAACTGAAAATAAGCATTACATATAAAGAAATATATGTACACTTCTAGGTCATCATCATCATCTTCTAGGTTCATGGTCGTGGGCTGATAGGCCTCAGCTCGTTTGAGCTCGTGAGTAGCTCGTGAGCTGGCTCGTTAAAACAACGAGCTAGACTTTTAACTCAGCTCATTAAAAAGTTAAAACAAGTCAAGTCGAACCAACACAAGTCGAACGAGTTGACAACTCACGGTATTTTGTCGAGCGCTAGCGGCAAGTGCTGCCATATCCAGCGCTAGCGGCAGGCTGGCAGGACCAGCGTCCGGTGGTTGTCCGGCGGCGACTGTGTTGAGCTGCTTTTTCTACGGTTTAGATTTTTCTTTTCTTTGTTTCTTTCTTTCGAGAGTACCTGAAAAAAAAACGTCTTACCCTTCCGTGTCTTGTTAATTATAGTTTCTTGATCATCATTGGGCCTGTTCGTTTGTCTGAATTTTGGAGGAATCTGATGGTTTGAGAGAATATTAGAGAAATTTATGAGAGAAAAATACTGTTCCGAATGAAAAAAATAAGCGGATCAAATCGAGTTTAAGGGCACGCCAACGGAGCCATTGTTTTTGAACCTTTGACCACCATTTTTCGTTACATGGCTCGTGAGGTTAATTAGCTTTCAAAGGGTGCTTGCTTGTCGAAATACTTCGACTTCATTGTAATGCTGATCTCAAACTTATTCCACGGAGTATTTGCTAGTGCCTCGTCAATAGTGTTTTGAAAAACAAAAGACCCATTCTCTCCGTCTTAAAAAGACTGTCATTATGAGGTTCATGCTGGTCAGATTTTAAAATCTTGACTAGATTTGTAGAAATTATTATCAATATTTATATCTTTAAATAAATTTATTGTGAAAATATATTTTCAACGACTGATCTAATGTATTAACTATACACTAAAAATATTAATAGTTTCTTATTTATATTTGGTTAAAATTATAAGTTTAATTTTTTTGAGAAGTGAAAATGACATTCTTTGTGAAGATTAGAGAGTAATATTTATAGACCAGTCATCAGGTCTTAAATTCATGGAGATCTTAGCCAGAAGAAGATTTTTCTTTTACAAACTAATTTCTTATGGATGTGGCAATTGCTATTGGTGCCACGTAGAACTATAGAAGGCTTTCCTACTGGCCAATGACCTCGTGCCTCCCTTGCTACCGTTAGGAGTTCAAGTCAATTATCTTCTTTCTATAAAAAAAAAAGATAGACCTATCTTTTGAGGCAATGATTCGTGTCGTAGTCTCAAACGCAGTAAAAAGCTACTAGACCTTAACAATTGTGTAGCTTTTTTTTTTCCTACGAACGACGTTAAGGTTGATTGAGACCTTAAATAATTTATTAGGTCCCATAGTTTTTAAAGTAAGAAAATAATTTGTTTATATCGGTTTTTCTTTGTGTTGTGTTGTTCTTTTGTGAAACGGCCACTTTATTCCGTGAAATAGAAGTAAAATAAAGATGGTATAGCCAGTCACTTGGGAAAAAGAAAAGAAAAGAAAATCTCCCGGAAATGACCACAACTTTCTCGCAAAATAAACCTCACCCCTCCTGGTCTGCGGCCCTGTCTCCTGTCTCCTGTCTCCTCCCACCCTCTTGCCTGCGCTCCCCCTCCTCCCTTCGTCTCCGCCGCCGCCGCCGCTTCCTCGCCGGAACCCTAAATGGACCCCGGCGCCGGCGCGCACTACTCCGCCCGTACCGCGGAGGAGGTCTTCCGCGACTTCCGCGGCCGCCGCGCGGGCATGATCAAGGCCCTCACCAACGGTATGCTACCGTCGCTCGCTCCTTTGTTCCGGATTTCGCCTGCCTGCCTATCTGGCGGGCGGCTTCGCTGGTGCTGACGTGTTGCTTGGTTTGGTGGTTTGCGCAGACGTGGAGAAGTTCTACCAGCTGTGCGACCCCGGTGAGTCCGCTCGATCTCCTCGGTCGTAGGGTTGGGGCCGCCGACAGTCACTTGGTTGCTAGGGTTCGGGCGTTCGGTCGCCCTGCTTGGTGTCCCGAAGCTAAATTTGCCACTCGCTGGTCTGGAAATGGGAACCTAGTACTGGTCCGCTGTGGTTTCAGTTGATGATGTAATGGTTTGGTGTGTGGTGACTGGTGAGCGATTGCAATTGTAGATTGGGCGAAAGGTTGGATGGGAATCATCGAATTCGTGAGGATTTTATTGTTCATGCATTCGTTAGCTCGACTTTTGACTCTGTTTGCCGTTGATGCTACACTGGAAAATGTAGGAATTTATGGGAAGTTCCAGGTTTGGGTGCTGGGATTTCTATACTCAAAAGTAGCCACGGTTGCTGTCTCTTTGTTGTTGTTTTTTTTCCCTGTTTCTACCATATTCCATAAATGCAACATAGGGTCATGAGTTATGACTCATGACCTATCTTAGAGACTTGGAGTTAGTTACTCTTTGTTTTAGTGAAGCCAGTGAACCAATTTTTGTGCCAATTGTGCCATAGGATTGGTTTAGGAGTGTGAGCTTGCTTCATTTATCTTGTATTTTAGTGCAACCATGTAGCCTTTTCTTTTTAAGCCTGGCACTTTTTGCTTGCACCTTGCACTTCACTGAGTAAATTACAAGTAATACAAAACATTGGTCCTTTCTATCTACTAATTCGAGTTTTTTTTTTTACAGAAAAGGAAAACTTGTGCCTTTATGGCTACCCCAACGAAACATGGGAAGTAACTTTGCCAGCAGAGGAAGTTCCTCCGGAGATCCCTGAACCAGCTTTGGGTATAAACTTTGCTAGGGATGGCATGAATGAGAAGGATTGGTTGGCGCTAGTTGCTGTCCACAGCGATTCCTGGTTACTGGCAGTTGCATTCTACTTTGCGGCCCGGTTTGGGTTTGACAAAGAGGCTAGGTAACGATTCTGGGCACTGGAACTTTTCAGTTTCCTTGAAAAAGAAATTTATTTGCTTCAAGCACATTTTCACAAATTCATCTACAGGTTAGTGTTGACCAACAGATATGAAATACTTGCAAAAAGAAATCCATCATTGCTCACTTGTTCCCACCTGATTGGGAAAAAAATCATTGTGATTTCTCCTTTGTTAAGGATCAGTTTGATTCTTATATTTAGTGTTTGCTTGTGCATAATCTAACATCAGAGTTGATTTGAAAGTGGCCTGCAGTTCCATTTGTACTGTTTGGATTACCAAAGAATTGACAACAAGGATTAGGATTCAAATCAATTGGCAATTGAGTGTTATTTGCCAGCATATTTTTTCGAGTCGTAAACTAACATGTTTACCGGGCAATGTTTGGCATAGGCTGTGATACGGTAATGAATAGCATCATTAGCACTTCGGCAGTTCCAACAACTGATGTGTGCACCATGAGGATGCTTAGGAATTTGCAGTTGAGTTTCACACATGCTCATGCGTTTGATACATTTGGGGAAATGGGGAAGAGGCCTTCTAGAGACAGACTAGCTAGCATAGAGCGGAGGATGAAGGGATGGGTGGCAGCCAGGAGAACTCATCTATTGCCGCTAGCAATGAGAAAGAAACTGCTTTGCCAATTAGGAAGAGGCATTGTCAGATCTGAAGCCAAGGAACGAGGTGAAATCAATGGAATGGTCGAGGGAAGGACTAGGCAGAGACGCACAATGGTGGGCTGAGAGATGGTAGTGAGTTCCAACCAGGGTGCGCATAAGAAAATGTAGGCCTGATTTAGGGCCTGTTTGGCAGGGCTTCTTTTGGCTATGGCTCCTTTGGAGGAGCCGGAGTTGGTGAAGCCAGTTTTTCAGGATTCACTGGCTCCTAGTTCATTTCTGGAAGAGAGAGAAAAACAGCCCCTTGCTACAGGCAGAATATTCCCTACAAGCTGGAGCTGTTTTGGGAGGAGAAGCCCTCTCAAATGGGGCCTTAGTAGGCCACCTTAAGTGATCTTCTTGTTTCAGTTGCCTCTCCTTAGTCTCCCAACACATCTCTTTTGCTTAAAAGATCTTGTACTGGAGTCTTGGTAGGGCCATGCGACCCACTCAGTCCATCCATCCTAGGCCCAGCCTAGCCAAACCACTAGAAATATTTTTACATGGAATACGTCGAAGACGGGCTGGACCCATCAAATCAGTTGAAGCACTCTAGAACAAAGCGTCACTGTCTTCCCCTTGCAAACTTTCACTCTTCCTGAAGTCACCTTCACTCAGGCAGTCAAGCCAAAGCCTAGAATCAATCTGACCCCTTTTCCTCTTCCTAAATCCAGTCGTGTACATCTAAAAACAGGCATGGTAGGTCTGGCTTTGGATTAGTTCCTAGAGTCACACCAGCAGGCTGCCGGGTTAGGCGAATGCACATGGTGTCACATAAGTCTCTGGAGCTAGGAACCGCGATAGTTGAGTGCTGCTGCCCACATTGCAGGTGGGGCAGCGACTGACCTGGAGTGGCACAGAGGCTCGGAAGCATGATGGTCAGGAGGCCTCACACTTTGGCTAAAAGGTGGAGCTCTTTCAATCCTCTTCTTGTGGAATCACTTCATGTTATCTGCTAATGCTGCAAGTTATTATAAATTTCAAAACTTAACCTTATGTATGTTTATGTGGTTTTGTTCTTTGAAATCGGAAGAACATTGGACGCCTGTTCTGATTTCATACTTGGGGAGAGAATAAGGCAGGGACTGGAGGAATACATTTGATTGCCACAGTTCCGTGGTTACATCCATTATTAGTTCACTATATTCCTATGTAGTCCATTTTTTATTTCTTCCTTTTAGCCACCTAGCCTGCCTAAATCCTGCTAGGGGCATGTTTGGTTCCCAGCCACAGGTTGCCACCATTTGCCACACTTGCCTAATGTTAGGTGCTCAAAATATTGAAATATTGCCACACCTTAAGCCTTAGAGAATCTTGTCACATTTTTTGGGGTCATGGACGCGTGGGACCTATTTACTAGAAGAGAATATTGCCACACTTTGTGGTGGCAACCAAATAGTAGCCAAAGTTGATCAAACTTGCGTAACCACCATACCACCAAACCGTTTAGCGTATGTAGGCCCTCTTGATCACCATTTAGGTGGTAGGCATAGGTAGGGGTGCAAATGGGACCGTCAGACCAATGGGGTTCAGGTGCTAATCTGTATCTGAATCGAGACATTCAATATCCATGCCGTATCCGAATCCGACTCAAAGTTAGATAATTGATACGGATATGGGATGGATATATCAAGCACATCTGACACTTCGTATTTTTTAACATGACATTGTTGCTTTGCATATTGGAAAGTTCTAAGTTAGCTATTAAATTGATACAGAGAGGTAAGGTACTGATTTTGTGGCGTTGTAGGGGAGAAATGACTCACTAAATTGGTTCCACCGTTGGAGCTCAATGTAGACAGGGATCGAGTTCTGGGTTTGACTCATTGTCTAGCATAACTCATAGCGGCACTGCACACTTTTCATGACACTTTAATGACATGAAACTTGTAGTTGAAAGTTTGTTGCCAGCGGACTTTTTTTGTGTAAAAATTATCATTTGTAAGGAAAAGGAGGTGACTCTTGGTTGAAATGAAGCTATTCCCTTTCTGACATCTCACAAGTAACAAGTACTGTAGAAAGTGTGTATTTCTGGGTTTGCAGCTCTTTGGTTGTTGCTTTACTTTAAAATCATATTTGTGATGTCTCCTTAACATCTTGGTTCTTTAGCTTCACTTGGTTGTGAACAGCTGGTTTTATAATTGAGCAACATGCTAGTTGGCAAACATGAAGGTGTCTCAAACTGCTTGATCAATATTTGATGAGTCTCATTTAGACTGAAAACACTAAACATCACATATTTTCAGCTTTTGCCAAGATCTTGATGAAGACTCAGTAGCAAGTGACTGAAAGTAACTTAAACTTTATGCATCTATAGAAAACAGACAGAATAAATGTAAAGATGATTGGAATATTCTTCGTTATGCTTGTTACATTGTTCATGCAATGCATTTTCACTATTGATTATTTTTGAAGTTCCCTGCTCAACTCCAAGTATTATGGTTTTGGTCATAACCTTAGACCATTCTTGCTTATTGTTCTCCAATCTTTTTATGAACCCTGGTGAGAGCATTCATTCTACAAATCTGTTTTTGTTAGAGAAGCTAATAATTGACCACTTGAACAACTTTAGCTAGTTGTTATCTACTGGGTGGATTGGTTGGCTGGCCAGAATGGATGTCTCCCTTTTTGCCCTACTACATTGGAGTATGTGTTGGTGATTACATGACTTCAAGTAAATACATGGGTGTGGAAATACACTAGGGACAAGGGGTAGAAGTAACCAACTGATAGAAAAAGGGATCTGATAGGTTTTTCCTTACAGGGGTGCCTTACAAGGATTTGGTCAAGCTAAGGCTTTAGTGATGAACAACAAAAACATTATGTTTAGTGGATTCTAATACTGCTATCTTCACCAGTTCGGAGTATTCAGATTATTACTTTTGCATAGAATAAACTGGTTTATGCTTCTATGGATATTTGAAAATGTGTGGTTTGCTGTTCTCTTTTAACAGGCGGCGACTCTTCAACATGATAAATAACTTGCCCACGATATTTGAAGTAGTGACTGGGGTTGCCAAGAAACAAAACAAGGAGAAGGGCCCCAATAGTACCAGCAAAAGCAACAAACCAAGTTCGAAAATGGTAAGTTTAGACACTTATCGTGCTGCCCTTCAGTATTTTCGTCACTGATGATTTTCTGTTTCAGACATCAAGACCGGAGTCTCATTCAAAGGCGACAAAAGTGGCAGTGCCCCCCAAGGATGACGATGATGAGAGTGGTGAAGAATATGAAGAAGAGGAAGAGCGTGATAACACCTTATGTGGATCCTGTGGAACAAATGACGGCAAGGACGAATTCTGGATCTGTTGTGATAGTTGTGAGCGGTGGTACCATGGGAAGTGTGTCAAGATCACGCCTGCACGAGCCGAGCACATCAAGCACTACAAATGCCCAGATTGCAGCAACAAGAGGGCAAGAGCCTAGCGTCAAGCCCTGGTATGACCCTGGAGTGAAGTAAGCGCCAAATCATTGATGTCTGCAGATATATGCCTAGCTGTCTAGCTTGTAGACTTGCTTTTCATTTCGAATGAACGCTGTTGATTCACTCGTTGCCCTCAGCAGCTCATGTTGCTCGGGCTTAATTGTGTTTAATGTTTTATAAGCGGTTGTTGTTGTATTACCAGGCAGTCTTGCATACGTGTGATGGACGTTTTTGGACTCGAAGGACTTAACTGACCGTTTCTACATCCCTAGTCTAGTTCCAGTTGATCGTGCCACTCGACTTTTCGCAATGGGCTAGGTGTTTCAAATTTTGATCCTCGAGCCTTTGATCGATTGCTTCGTTCCAAACCAATATATGTCAAAATTATACTTCTGCAATTTTGTTTACTCACAGGACAGGATATTCAAGAATTTGTGAGCTAAGAGTAAGAGTACTCTCTTCGATCTCTCTTAAAGCACATTATATCTCTTTAATCTCTTTTACGAGGCACATTGTAACATGATAACCCGTTTAATTACAAATCTAATCGTGTTAAGTTTATATTATAAATAATTAAAAATTGTTAGTTAAATCATTTAGCAAAGATTTTAAAGTTTAAATCTTGATATGATAAAATAGAATGGATAGAGTGATATCTAAATATTCCCTATTCTCTATTTATAGTTTCTCGCTCTCTATGTTTTCAAAAGAGAGAGCGAGCTAACTCTTCAGAGTGCTGAAGCCATTCTCTATCTATAGTTTCTTACTAAAGTTGTTGTAGGCGTTCTCTATTTATGGTTTCTCGCTGTATGCTCTCCAAAGATAAGTGACACTGGTCTCTAGAGTACCAAACAAGAGAAGTTGTTAGCGTTTTTTTTATCAAAATGGTTCTGCAACCAAGAATTTATCAAAGCTTGAATTTCTAAGGGCATGTTTGACGGGCTTCAGCTCCGGCACCTGCAGAAGCCGGACAAACGGCGAACGAGAGAACAGAAAAAAAAGAACAACTCCTTCTGGTTCCTCATCCATATGCACGGCCAAAGGACAACTCGATCCTTTGCTGGTGCACGGCTGCACGCGCTAGTGCGCAACGCTGGGCGCGAGCACAACGGTTAGGCAGGACGCGGCCGACGCTGTGAAAGAACTATCCAATTTACAAGAGCACAAGTATAATAGCAGCCTGCAAACGGTCGCACTGTCATAGTTGAGCTCATATAAACCCGATAGTCCGTCGAGTACCACGAATGGTCTCAATTCAACCAACATACAACCAATATCGTACATGACTCAACATGCATGTCACACGTTACATAAAGTTCACAAATACAGTTCCATACATCAGAGTACGATTAAAAGTTATTATAAACCAAGTTTAGGTAAAGTAGTAGCGGAATCAAATAGAGTTTGAAACCAACATCTGTCATCATTGTTCAAATACAGTGCCAGCTCATGATCACAAGCATAAAAGCATAATAGAGGGATTATTGAGAGACGCCTTTCCCAGGGTTCCACTCCTCATCCACGGCGAGACAGAAGCAGTTCTTACAGTAGCCATGATACATCGTATTATCTGCAACAATGAGAAATAAACCCTGAGTACAAGAAGGTACTCAGCTAGAATTACCCGTCATAAACCAAAAATAAAGTGACTTCAAGGATCATACAAGGCTTTATAAGTGGAGCTAGCTTGACAACATTTTGCATAAAAAGCGACTAATTCAGTTGTACATTTATAATTCGATCATCAAGTTAATTATATCTATTCATCTCTAGATTAGCAACTAACCTGTGCCAAACATGTGGTATATCATTTAGTAGCATACAATAATAACCATAGCCAGTGTAGTAATTCCATGTTCATCATAACCATCATTCCATAATACACTTACTACGATGTGGGGCTAGCCAAGTTTCTCACTGTCCGAAAGAGACGGCGATTCGAATCAATTTCAACCAGCTAGGAATTTATTCCTAACACAAACCCAGGCAGACCAGATTAACGGTCATCTTAGGTCACCTTTGGTACAACTCAGGTCCACATTTCGCGGGTTCGATCAGCGCCGCACAATTAGGGACGACCAGCTGCCAGGACGTTCAGGCCCGGCCTGCCCTTGGGCTCACGTCTGGCTCTCCACACATCCTTACTACCATCCAGAGTGCGCACTCTTACAGAACGGGGCCCAACTGAGTTGAGCTACATGGTTTCGTGGTTGAAATGAGTTATCCGGCTAGCTAAGTGAGAGGCATGCGTTCAATCTCGATAAAAGTGCCAACAACGGTATGGTCCTTCATCGGACACAGACAGAATCATTTGAGTCAATCTATGCATAGACTCCGCCCGACCTCCAGTTATATTATCTCATGGTTCTTTTTGCACGATAGCAAATATAGCCAATCGTGCTCTAATATCAACCTATATCTCGCAGGTGACAGGAAATCACCCGACTTCTACCGGTCTAAGCATGGCTAAGCATATATTCGATCCTGAACCTACATAGGGTTAAAGGTATATGTATCTGGATAAGGTAGTTCTATGCATCAAGTGTTTCCAATCAACTCTTATAACCTAATGCATTAAACATAAAATGACTCAAGTGATATTTTATAAAGCATAGGAGGCTTAAAATGCTCCGGGGTTTGCCTTTGATAAAAGAAGTTGGCCTGTGGTCTGGGCACTCGGGTAAGTCTTTAAGAGTTTGCTCCTCTCCTTCTGGAGCTACGGCATGAGATGCCTCCTGTTGTTCCTCCGGCTCTTCTTCAAACTCCAACAGAGTTATCTCTTCGAACGATCCTATATGCTTGAGCACGGAATAAGATATCATGGATGCATATATAATGACATGTATAATATGATATGATATGATGAATGCATCCTCATAAGTGTTCTCAGCAGCCTTGCATTAAGGTGATAACAAAATAAATTTTCTTTTACTGAGTAGGTGTATATCTCTTCCCTAGTAATTAATTAAACATTTGTGTAAGATATTTTCTGGACTGCAAGACACCAGCCACAAGTTTTGACCATAACTAGAGTTATACATATCTAAATAATATGTTTGTAGACTTTATTGAAAGCTTATGAATTTTTCTACAACTTTATTTTAATCATCTTAAGGTAATTCAGTAGTTATCTAGGTCAAACATTTCAATCTTTTAGATCTATCTAGAGAGCAAGCATTTCTGACAGCAGAATTCTAACAGCTATAATTTTTAAACCATTACGCCTATGAGTATAAAAATTTAACACAAGGTAGATGAGTAAGTTATATACAACTTTGTTATTAATAAGTTCCACAAAAAAGGTTATTATCATTTTGAAATTATCACCACAACAGAAACTATACATGCAGTCATCTAGTTGAATTATAATGCAATAATTAACTAGCTGTCTATAACCAATTTTTTCTAAGCCAAACTAATATCATCCACAGATTATATACATCACAAACACCATAGAAAACATCATGGTTAAGCCTAACTAATTTATTTATATTCATTTATTATTTTTTCTCATATAATAAGGTGATTTAAAGGATAAATACTTCTTGTGATCAATAAATCTTGATAAAATTACAGTAGTCTACACATGACCCTAATTATCTACTGTACAAATTTCATGCCATTTGGACAAGTATAGCTACCTCTACAAAAATGACAAGTTACATATACTTATTTTATCAAAAATAGTTTAGCATAGTGAAAAGTGTCAAGCAACAGATTTAATATTTTTTTTACTTTCCTCATAGCATGAGAATATTGTATAAAAATTTGTATGATCATATCTTATGTATTTTTACCCCAATTAATTTCACTAAAATCTAGCAATTAATTAAGATTAAATAGGAAGACCATATTACAAGTATGTTTACTATAGGTTTAAAAATTTTCTAGCTAGAGCATGTCAACACAAGACTAGTAAAATTAGAATCACAATTTTATCACTTTCCTAGCTCAAGTTATGCATTTTACAGGATATAAACTACTTTAAAAGTACTTATCTTGCTCAATTTAATTCTCCTAGAAAAATACTCTAAGCAGTAGATTTCATATTTTTATAAAATAGTACACTTTAGGATGAATCTAACAAAATTTGGTTCACCCCATTTGGATACTCCTAGCTCTAGATATCAATTTTTGAAGTTTATACTTAAATCTGTGAAAAATAAATAAAGAAAATCAAATTTCCACTCGGGCGCTACAGCTAGGTGCACCCGGTCTATACACCCACGGTGGCTGACAGCGGGGGCTAGTAGGTCAACCTGGCCCCAGCGCTAGTGAGACCGAGGCACAAGCGACGGTTGACCGACGAAAAGCTCACCGACGGCGAGGTCGCCATCGGTAGCGTCACCCCCGACGTGTTCCCCAACCCATTCCGCATCTATGGGTTCCCTTGGTTGGCTTAGAGGCTCGTCGGAGCAAGCTCTATGACGGCCATGGCGGGTAGCGGCGCTGTGCTATGGTGGGCTCGTCGTCTTCGGCGACGGCAAGCCAAGGCGAGCACTGCGGCGGCTTTAGGGCTACCTAGCAAAGACCTAGGGTTAGTGAGGGCGATGGTGGAGCGGCAGTGAAGCTTGGCCATGTGCATGGCATGGCGGCGGCGAGAGCGCAGCGATGAGTAGCCATGTTAAGACACCGACACGTCGGCATTGGCTCGACTGCCAGCGGCGTGAGCTAGACGTGACCCTATGCTAACCTTAACGAGAGAAAGGCGTGAGCAAGACTGCTCGGTGGAGCACGGCCGTGGCGAGCGTAAGCTCGGCGGTGCTCCGGTGATGGCCGCGGTGACGGCGATGCGAACTGTGACCTCACCTGAGCTCGGATGGCAGTAAGGGTGAGTTGGCTGGGTGGAGGAGGTGATGGGCGAGCAATGCGCGAGATGCGACGGACGGTGGTACGGTGGTGGCAGCGAACAAGTTCTATGGAGGTGCGACGGCGATGGGGTGGCGCTACGGTTCACTCGGGCGCGGCGAGGGTGAGAGAGAGGCGAGGCAGAGCGAGCGAG